GAGGAGGCGGCGGTGTGCGGCTGATGGAATCGGCGGTGTTTTGGCGGCGTCTGGTGGAGGAAGGTGACGGCGCTTGGTTTGGACTGGTGGGCTGCTGGAGGAGAAAGAAGAAGGTCTGGGCAGAAGAGAACGACGCGCAGGGAGGGGGGGATCGGCGAAAGGGCTCGGCGTCTGGCGGAGAAAAAACCGGTGACGTCTCAGCTTCTGGTGGAGGGAGACGGCGGAGGGGGGGCTGGCAGAGAGAGAGGGTGAGGGAGTGAAAAGGTTTTTATTTATTTATTTATTTTATTTGGGGATTTAGGGTTAAAAGTGGGTAGAGGGAAGGAAGAGGCAGTGTGATAAGTGGTTTTTAGTCATGGTCATGACTAAAGACTACCTTGCATGCTGGAAATTGGAGGGATTAAGCAGTGTTATAGGTGCTATTTAGTCATGATCATGACTAAATGGCACCTTGTGATCTGATTTTTTTTTAAGCGCCGCGCCTTCGTTAAGAATCATTAAGTATTTTCCCAAAGACCTGCATCAAATCAAACAAAACAATCAACAGTATTATTAGCAATTAAACAAAAAGCAATTAAACGGTTTGGATTGTCTCCCAAAAAGCGCTTTTCTTTATAGTCTTTGAGCTAGACTTCGCCTCACATCAATTCTGAACATCGAAATCGGCAACGGGTGCCGACTTTATAGGATCAAGTGAGGGTCCCTCGTGGTATAATTTGAAGCGATGTCTATTGGGCACACACTTTTTCTTCGGCTTAGAATTTTTATTCTCCTTATGACATTTTTTCGCTGCCAGCAATGGTGATCCCTTGGGAATCCATCTCCACTTTGTGACAATCTTTTTTCCTTTTTTACTCTCTCCAATGGGTCTTTTCTCTAACTGTTTTGTCAACACAGTTCTTCGTTTATTCTCATTACCAACTTCACAAGTTTCCTGCACCACAAAATTAATAACATTAATTGCATATAACGATTTAGATTTAACAGGACATTTGACGGGATTGAAAATATTGAAATGAAATTCTTCTCCATCAAACTCCAAGCTGAGTGTGCCCTTTTTAACATCTATCTTTGTTCCTGCAGTGCACATAAAAGGTCTTCCTAACAAAAGAGGCGGTGGATTAGAGCAGTGCGCATCATGCATATCCAGAATATAAAAATCAACAGGAAAAATCAATTCATTCACTTGAACTAGTACATCTTCTATCATACCATCGGGATAAGCATTGGTTCGATCAACAAGTTGAATAATAATTCCTGTTTCTTTTAGAGGCCCTAGATTTAAAGAGTCGTATATTGATCGAGGCATGACATTAATAGCAGCTCCTAGATCTAGCATAGCCTTAGTTATCTCAGTTTTTCCAATCTTACAAGGGATAGAAAACATACCTGGATCACCTGTTTTAGGTGGTACCTTTCTTTTGATAACAGCAGAAACGTTCTCACCCGCTATAATATGCTCGTCCCCTCGTAATTTTCTTTTGTTGGTGCACAGTTCTTTTAAAAACTTTGTGTACTTGGGGATTTGGTTGATAGCTTCCAGGAGCGGGATATTAAGTTCCACCTTCTTGAATATTTCCATCATCTCTTTTCGTTTGTTGTCTTTGTGGTTTCTTCAACCTGTCAGGAAAAGGAGCTGATTTAGCTTCAGTAGGAGGAACAGAATTAGGATGTTCCTTTTCGTGAATTTCGGCCTCTTTTTCAATCTCCATCTCAATCTTATCCTTATTCTGTTCCTTTGAGATAGGAGGTGGACCTTCCAATTCCTTTCCGCTACGAAGGGTTATAGCACTCGTATTCCTTGGATTAGGCCGGGAGGAACATTCAATCATCGTATCACTGCAGATAGTGATGGCGCTGACATTTGTTGGATTTGGCTCAGGCTGAGCAGGCCACTTTCCTCTTTCACGTAGCTGTTTCACCTCCTCTGACACTTGATTGATCTGACCTTGTAATTTGTCTACAGTTGACTTCATCTCTTGCTGGAATTGTAGGGTACTGGTAGCCATAGACTTCACCAAGTCTTCCAAAGATGGACTGGAGTTGCTTGTGGGTGCTTGGGGCGGCTGTTTCTCATAAAAACGAGGTTGTTGCATCTGCTGCATAGCTCCGAATGGTTGATGAGCATTACCCTGCTGTGCATTTCCATAACGCAGGTTCGGATGATTTCTCCAGCCTGGATTGTAAGTGTTGGAGTATGGATTGTACACTGGAGGTCTATTCATACCGTAGTTTGCAATGTTCACATCCACTGTACATTCTTCTTGGAGGGTCGGACATGCATCTGTAGGGTGTCTTGCACTCGTGCATATTCCACACGCCTTGACCTGGACACTCGGGTTGGATTTTTCCACGACCATCTCGCGAACGAAGCTCGTCAACTCAGAAAGTTGTTGCTGCATCGATTGGATGGCATGGTCGTTGTTGTTTCCGCTCATATGTCCAACATCTCTTGAACCAAATTGCTGCGTGTTTTTAGCCATCCTCGCAATAAGATCCCAAGTTTGTGCCGGCGTCTTATTTACTAAAGCTTCACTACTTGCAGCATCGATAATGTTCCTGTCCATCAACGACAAACCATCATAAAAGTATTGAATCAATAATTGAGGGGGAATTTGATGTTGTGGACATTTAATGATAAGCTTATTGAATCGCTCCCAATATTCATGGAGCGTTTCACCTGATTGTTGTTTGATGCCACATATTTCCTTCCTCAGGATCGCAGCTCTGGAAGCTGGAAAGTACTTCTCCAAAAATTTCTTCATCATGTCGTTCCACGTGTCGATGCTTCCAGGTGGGATATAGTAGAGCCAATCCTTTGCAGCATCTTTGAGTGAGAATGGGAAGGCTCTGAGTTTGATCTGTTCGTCAGTAACACCTGGTGGTTTCATGTTGGAGCACACCACGTCGAACTCTTGCAAGTGTTTGTGAGGTTCTTCACTTGCAAGTCCATGAAAAGAAGGCAGTAAATGGATTAAGCCAGATTTCAGTTCAAAAGCAATAGTGTTATTCAGAGTTGGAAAGTTAATGCATAAGGGCTACTGCGCCAAGTTGGGAGCAGCCAACTCCCTTAGAGTGCGGGTATCCTCAGCCATGACAGTCTCTTGATCACTTTCAGAGTCGCTAGAGCTAGAGATTTTGAGGTGGTTTAAAGATTCTGCCAGCTTCGCAACCTGAGCAGCTTTTCGTTGCTTGGCTTCCTTTCGTAGCTTTCGCTCAACCTTCTCGATCTCAAGATTAAATATAACCTGTACGAGAAGAACGGAGCATAAACAAGAGGATGAATTAAAATAACACAAAAGAGTAAAACAAAGCGCCAATCCCCGGCAACGGCGCGAAAAATTGACCTGTCGCGCGGTCAATCAAATATTTCACCTACTCCGTGATCACAATTTAATGTAATATAGGGGAAGGGATCGTCTCCACAGGGATTGTGTGATTCACTCTTTCGTATTCTAATGTAGTAAATAGATGGGGATTTTTCTTTTATAATCTAATGAAAATAAAATAACAAAGCAATTAAATTAAGGAGGGAACTGACTATCAAGGGGATGCCTGGCTCAAGGGATGATGTAGTTATGGCACTTGTGTTTTATCATTGATTCAATAAAATTAATTCTTATTAAAGTATCAATAAATTGCTTATAGTTATCAACAAGCTCTGACAACCAATTTTTCCTTACAGTGTAGGTAATTAAGGTACGACCGTTAACTACCCCTAATTAAGCAAATAAACCTAGGTGTGCCCATAAGAATATTGCCTAACCACATTGTAATTTAGAAAAACCCAATTCAAAATAATTACTACCTAGGAGGAGCAATTAGATTTGATTGTCTAACCCCCGGGAATGAACTATTCAACCCGGTTATCACCTATTCAAGTGCGAATACAATTACGGATATCCTACCTGAATTGACTTTAGATTATCAGACTAATTTAAATATCGGTACCAAAATATTCAATCAATCTAACAATCACAAACACTATTATCAGAATTAGACAAATATTGATAATCAAAAAGAACTTTTATAAAGAAAATCAAGAATCTCCAAAACAAAAGAACCAAAACATTATCACCCCTCAAACCAGAAAAGTATCTACTTCATAATCAAATAACAGAGAATAAAAAAGAAAGATGAAGTCATAGTGGGAGGGGAAATCTTCTCTGTCGATTTGCTCCTGCGCGATCTATGAATCTGTCAGTCTCCTACTCTTGTGCGTTTCTGCCCTAGCCGTTCTCTCATTGGCAATAGGCGTGTGTTTTTTTTCTTATTTGATTTTTGCCCTAATTATTTTGTAGATGGGCTTTTGGGTCTTTAATGAATTTTATTTCTTTTTTCTGCCAATTATGCCAAATTTAATATTTGTCCATTGCACACAGCAAATAAAAAATTCGCATATAAATTAGGTAGAATCCAATCAAAATCACCCAAATATCGCATATGATATGAATATAAAACGCATGCGATTTCTAACTATCAATCACTCATTTGTATAATATTGTTTGTGTTTTCTCTGTTACCCGTTATTGCTTTTATAAAGTGTTCTGCTGATTCTTCGATCTACTCATGTGCATTATGGATGACACGAGGCGTCTTTGAAATTGAATAGGTGTGTCATACCCACCATTGAGGGACAACGTACTTTCGGGCAGAAGTCTAAGCGTCGATCCAAGCTTGCTGCATTGTAGTAAGTTATTCATGCATCAATAGTATATCACATTACTTGTATAGTTTTTATGATATGAACATTCGAATTATAATGTTGATATTCATATTTTTAGTTCAATACTATTATTTTCGGTGGTTATATAAGCCGAGGCAGGTTAGTATTAAGAACCAACCTGAAATAAGTTATCTTAGGGTCTGAAAATTATTTACATGACATGCTATTAAAGTGGTACTTATATCTTGATCCACATTACAACATGTGTTTAATTAAGTGCATACAATATATGTTAATGGGATTATGAAAAATCTTCAAAGTTTTTCTTTCTTAGATGGACAAGAGTTGGATTGACGAATCGAACCATACTTCGTCTACTTATTTGGATGGTGTGATACAACTCTTAAACTATGCTTTTCGTGGGAGAGACATAGACTCGGTTGTATATTGCTCATGTTGGACTTGTTTAAACCGTGCCATTAATACTCGTAGGGAGATATTGCTTCATTGCATTAGGTATGGGTTTGACCCGTCTTATAGGGTGTGGACTAGCCATGGTGAAGTTATGGGTGAAACATCAACTAGCACGGAAGACAGGCAAAGGTCAGCACTGTGGGAAGATGACCTAGATATGCTAATGCGCGATTGTGCTATGCCTGACCACTTGGGTGAAGGGATCAATGAAGGCAACACTGCGAATGATGTAGGTGACGACCATAGAGATGACAACAATCGTGGGTGGAGGCAAATGCTTGAAGACATGCAAAATTATCTTATCTCAGGGTGTAAGAAGATTAGCAGGCTTTCATTCATTGCACGTCTCTTGCATTTGAAGGTTCTATGTCAGTGGTCAAACCACTTGGTCGACCTACTATTAGAGCTATTGCGGGATGCCCTACCAGATGCTGTGATCTTGCCGAAGAATTACTACAAAGCAAAAAAAATAACAAAGAAGTTGGGTTTCAATTATAAGAGTATAGATGCATGCATTAATAACTGTATGTTGTTCACAGGAGATGATGTAAAACTTAAATCTTGTGCGATTTGTAGGGCTAGTAGGTTCGTTGACGGCAGCCCCACTAAGGCAGCAAAAAAGATGAGGTACTTTCCCTTAGTGCACCGTTTACAGAGATGGTTTTTATCTTCGAAAAATGCAGCTTCCATGTGCTGGCATGCTGAAGGCCGTGTCAACGATGGACTGTTACACCATCCTGCTGATAGTGCAGCATGGAAGAACTTTAATCGTCGTCACCCGTCATTTGCCAGTGACATACGCAATGTACGTCTAGGGTTGGCCACTGATGGGTTTAATCCTTTCGGAAACATGAGTGTGAGCTACAACATTTGGCCAGTAGTTCTTGTCATTTACAATCTACCACCATGGTTATGTATGAAACAACCATCATTCATCTTATCTACAATTATTGATGGTCCAAAGGGACCCGGGGAACGCATTGATGCTTTTCTTCAGCCTCTGGTTGCTGAGTTGAAAGAATTATGGAGTACGGGGGTTCGAACATATGATGCAGTAAGTAAGGAAAATTTTCAAATGCGGGCCGCTTTAATGTGGACCATTAGTGACTTCCTAGAGTATGCCATGTTATCTGGCTGGCCAACAAGGGGGGCAAACGCATGCCCTAATTGCGGTATGAGAACACATTCGGCATACTTGAAAAAGGGTCATAAATTATGCTATTGTGGACACCGGCGATACCTGCCCGACGGTCTGCGTCTGGATCGACAGTCCTTCGATGGAACGATGGACTTCGCAGCACCTACGACACGCATAACTTGTACAGAACTGGTAGAACAAATACGCGATGTGCCAACTACATATGTGAATGATGATTTGATTACACAACACTTGGCACATCAATCTAGAAAACGGCGTCGCCACGAGCATGAAGAAGTTTAGGGTAGAAAAAGAAGAGCATATTCTTTGAATTACCATACCGGGCTGAGAATGATATACGACACAACCTTGATGTGATGCACATTGAAAAAAATATTTGTGAGAATGTCCTTCACACTTTGCTAGGCACGAAGGGCAAAACAAAGGACAACCTTAATACAAGAAAGGATTTACAGTTGTTGAATATAAGAACTTCTTTGCATCCTATTCCGAGACCGAATGGTGGTTTTTATTTACCTGCAGCCCCTTACACCATGAGTTCCTCTGAAAAGAAAATATTTCTATCGGTCTTGAAAAATCTAAGACCCCCCGATGGTTTCAGTAGCAATTTATCCCGTAGGGTGAGAGTGGAGTAACTAAGCATTTGGGGATTGAAGAGCCACGATTGTCATGTTCTAATGCAGAAGATTCTTGCTATTTCCGTCCGCCAGTACACATTGTATTTTTGTTATCATTTCTCGAATATGATCATTGTGTGCTTGTACAACTTCAGATCTGTTACGTACGAAAGAAGTGATAGACTTCGTTTTGAACCAAATTATTTACAGATATGGTATTCCTCAGTCTATAACAACCGACCAAGGCCTGGTTTTCACAGGGGAAAAGTTCTCTAGTTTCTTGGCAGAATTCGGGGTTCGATTACATCATTCTTCACCTTATTATCCCCAAGCCAATGGACAAGCGGAAGCAGCAAATAAGATTATTATTGGGATTATAAAGAAGATGGTTGAAGGGAACCCAAGAAAGTGGCATTTGTTATTGTCTCAGGCTTTGTGGGCACATAGGAATACTAGAAATACGGCAACAGGGTTCTCACCTTACCAACTCACGTTTGGCCAAGATGCTGTTTTACCAGCCGAAATCCGAGTGTCATCTGGCCGAACAGAATTTACTGATGGTGGTCTTACAGAAGAATACCAACAACTTATGTTGCAACAGTTGGAGGATTTGGATGTCAACCGTCTCCATGCAATAGATCGAAGTGTGAAACAGAGTGAAATCAGAGCAAGGAGTTACGGAAAGAAAGTTCTTCATAGGACATTCCAAAAAGGAGACCTAGTCTGGAAGACCATTCTTCCTACATATAAGAAAACGGACCAATTGGGAAAATGGTCACCGAATTGGGAAGGACCATACATTGTTCAAAAAAATATTGGAAATGGCGCGTTCATTATTGTAAATCATGAAGGTAGAAGAGTGCATGATTGTATTAATGCTAAATATCTGAAGAGGTATTATCCTGCCTTTTCAGATAACAAAACTGCCTGAAATAAAATATTATTCAGAACCCATTTGTAGGGTTCGAACCTATTTAAAGGTTCATTTCAGTTAGTCATCATGTATTGGTGAGAAATTTTCTGCCTCTGAATCAGACTTTTCATCCCAATGAGTGGATATTAGTTCTGGTTCTTCTTCAATAAGATCTTCCAAATCTGGTCGGTATCTTTCCCATTGGCTTTGCATTTCATCTAAATCTTGATGGGTACGTGCTTGCATGTCTGTTATGGCTTGATGTTCACGATCAACAATGGTCCGTAATCTTGAGAAGACTTTTCGTTGATTGGAAAAGATGTTATCCCAACCAAGATCTGGAAGTATAGTTGCTGCGTGATTTTCTATCATTTCCATGTGGTGATGGAGATCAGGAATGCGGCTAAGGATGTCACGAAGAGGTTCATACCCCTCAATGACTTTTTCCATCAGGCGGATGACGCGATGAATGGTTCTTCTTCCTCGTTGGGAGAATCGGAATTTGAAGTCTAGTTGCTTGAGTATATGTAACAAGTCTTCTGCATGGCCTCCAATAGGGTGATTACCCACAAAGAAGGGTTGAAGAACACCCTGCCAGTTGTTTGATGGAACATAAGGTCGGTCATTCGCCATATTTGTTAACACTTTAAGTGTTTTGATTTTCAAATTATGCCTCGGAATGTGTTTCTTAAAATGTGAGAAACAGTGTTCTTTTAAAGAAGGAGTTTGTTTCGATTCCTACAAAATTGGGAATTGAAAGGTGATCCTTGTTTTGAGAAGAAAGAAAAAATGGATTACTAAGTCAAGTATTGTTACAAAGGGGAAAGTATTACAACAATGCCCCTAGGGCAGTTTTTATATGGGTCCATTTGATTTCATCCCTGGATAGCCTTCTGGTATTGGCAGCCGTCTGATATCTTATGATGAATTGGGATCGGGCTTGGGCTTTCAGCTCTTGATCCAACTCAGCCTCATTCTTTGTATATTTCTCAAGCAGACGTTGTTCATTGATAATTTGCTTATCCAGGGTAGACTGTTCTTTCCTCAGCTCCCGCAATTCTGCCTCCTTTTTCTGAATAGCTTCATCGACTTGAGCTTTCGTGCTAAGGAGACCACCCAGCCTTCCAGTAGTCTGCTGAAGGGATTCTCGGGTTTTAGCCAAAGAATTCTCCAGCGTTGTTTGATCGAAGTCAGGCTGGGGGGTTTCGGCTGACAGGAGTCCAATGACTAGCACTTCAGTCTTGAGCTCTGTAAGTCTTTCCATCAGCCGATGCAGAATGGGGACGGCTGGCGATTCCGTTGGAGTGTAAAAAAGAAGGCCACCAACCGTCTGAATGAGTTTATCCAGTAAGTCGGATCTCAATTCTGACAGGGGATGGTTAATGGCCTCAGTGAATATAGTTTGGGCCTCCGCCGGAACCGGAACAGTCGATAGGACAGCTAAGTCCGAAGGCCCCTGCAAGTCCTACAATGTCAATCAGTATTCCAAGGGAGGTGCAAATTTATTCAGATAAGATATGTGTTACCTCTGGGCGGACTGCTGTCAGTGAGGGGGGCAGCAGTGAGGTCGGTCGAGTAGGGCAGACAGCTGGTATAATAGCAGCCGACTCGTCGGCTGCTGCAAATGGTCGCTGAGGTGCCGACCTGGGTCCCTATTGAAAGTAGTATGTAAAACAGTTAGTGTTTTCTGAAAGAGACATTGTGGCATGGATTGGTGTAATCTTACCAAATTTACAGAAGTCTCCGAATCGGATGAAGACACTTCTTCCATTTCTGGAGGTTGGGCTGCCGCAGGTGGTTCTTCTGCCTGCCACTCGATTGCTAGAGGAAGTGCCGCTGCTGGCTGGGCGGCTGCAGGTTGGGCGGCTGCTTCTAGAGCCGCTGCAGCCGGGATCTCTGGGGCACCTTCGATTTCGGGATCAGCAACATCAAGGATGTCGTTTTGAGGGTCAGCTTCGGCGAGGGCGGCTGGTTCTTCTTTTGACATGGATGAGTCTGATGCTATGTATGGCGGTCGACCCATCTGAGAAGTAGTTCCCTCGCTGTCAGAAGAGACCCCTGCTGCTGATCCGATGGGTGAAGGTGTCTGTGAAAAAATCATGGAAATGTTGGTTGTTAAATATATCAGGGTTGATCATTAGAATCCTAAGTATTGCTGATGAGAGAACTTACTGGTTCTCTAGGCACTACTGGTAAAGATTGCCTCCTGGTCGGGTGCCTGGCCCGACCGCTCCTCGGTGCGGGAGGAAGAGTTTGCCTCCTCGTCGGGTCCTCCGCCCGACTGCTCATTGGCAGATTGGTCTGGACCAAAGGCCCGGTTGAATGGTCGGCTGGGGCTGGCGTCGGTTGTGTGGTCGGTGCTGCTAAGGTCGGTTCTGGTGAATGATATGTGAAATCAAAGTTAAGATGTAGTGAATTGGCTCACGGTTTTAAGAAAAATTACCTATTCGGGGTCGGATCCTTGCTGATGTTTTAGTAGTTCCAAGGTCCGCTGGAGCTTGCTGGTCGGTCCTAGAGGTCGGGGGTGTTGGCAGCTGGGACGCTTTCCTTTTTCGCGTTGGAGCACTAGACCCGATCCCCGGGGCGGCTGTTTGTTGTTGAGTGCTAGTATGTCTAGCCGCCCCTAGAACCAATCCTTGGGGGGGAAGGAGTATGTTCAGCAACCGACCCTCATCAGGGGAAATCAGGGGCCATACAACCGACCACCATTCATTGAATGTTTCTACAGTCTCAGGGTTGGAGCGGAAAGGAATATAAGAATTGGAAGTTATATACGTGGTGAGCTGGGAGATATAAGAAGGGATTGAATTCGGTAGGACTCGTCGGTCAGGGCTTTGAAAAATTATATGTGGACACGCGACGGGTCCAGGGATACCTTGGCAGCAGCCGAACTGGCGCGCCAGGAATTGAGGTTCATAATTAAAGGTGTGAAAAGTTTTCTGCCCTTTTTTATCAAGTTTTTTGCTGCTAAAAAGAGACCTGGGTTTGAGGGCAACGTCCCAGGCAAAAGAATAGGTGGGATGAGGACAAGGCTCAGGAGTCGGAAGAGGATTTGGTGCCGGAAAGGGCCAAAAATGGTCGGGAGCATAACCCGCGTACTTTTTATACATAGAAAATCGAGAGTTACTGCGGGTATCTGTTAAAATTGCGGTTATTATTGGATCGGAAGATTGGAGTTTATTGCGTCCTGAGCAGAGTCGGTTGAGGGCTAATCCCAAATGTTTTTCAGCTATTGGCATAGTGGGCGGAGATCCTAAGTTAAACGCGTTGGGGAAGTAAAGACGGAACCAAAGTTCTAAAAACCAAAAAGGACCCGACGCGGCAGTGTCTAATTTTCTACTATCATTATCTGTTAGACGAAGGCTAACTCTAGTAAGTCCTTCAAACAGATTGGCTAAAAACAGGGTGCCAAGGGAGAAGAACCGACCTGACGCGATATGAATTGCCAGATCGAGATGAGAAGGAAGAACACATTTGGAAGGGGAAACAATGACGTACCTACAAAGCCAAAAAAGGATAAAGGCAGTATGCTCCCGGTCGGTCACAGGGGTCCCTGGAGCCCCTTGCTGGTCGGTTGCGAACTTTGTCCAACCCCATTCCTTCACACCTTGTAAAGACCACCCTGGATGGTCTTCTGATGGCTCCTGCCCATCTAGGGCTCCCATTACAGGGTCTTCACCCACGACTGGGAGATGCGCGATCATTGCCACGTCCATAAGAGTTGGACCAAAGGGGCCAGATGGTAGGAGGAA